GCAAATATGCGCCTCCACTCGTCTCGAATAGCCGCGAAACCTCTGTATAATCCACTTCTCACTACTTTATCGGACCAATTACGGTTTTGATAACTGGGATGTGAAAATTTATTGGTTTTGTATGCGGTTTTCGGTTTTGACGGATTCAATTTTATGCGGTTTGCGTTTTTGAATGAATTGTTCCCAATGCCCCACTCCGTAAGTAACCAAAAAAAAAAGGCGAATGCCAATAAGATGTTGCTGACAAAGTGCTGCTGAGCGTTCGGAAAAACGTGTTTGTTCTTGTTATTTTTCTCCACACTTGGGAAATTTCAATAGCAAATAATCACTTACGAAGTCATGTAACATTTAGAGCTGCTTGATGTAGAACAATACAACCGGTATTTGCTTCCATATGCTTGGCTACTCAGCGACACTACATCACCGCTGTTGATTGGCTGGCCGTACATCTTTCCCATGGCGTAAATGTAATAAAACATGCTACTTGAGCACGAGGACCAAGCTGATGAAGTCATCACTTGGCCAGGGCATGTATACCATTGGCAATTCGAAGTGGTGCAGCGCATCCAGTAGTTAACATAGCTACCAGAATGATAGGCTGACCGCAAAGCGATCCGATCTCCACTGTTAATGATGGGATATCTGTGACCTACAATGTAAGAATAGAAGGAAATTAGTGGAAGGCTTTCTTCACAGGCGTCTTTGGCTTTTACGTATTTGGTCTAAAATTTGAGACTGGGGAATCTGTTTAAAATTGAATTATTTTACATTTTTGGATAGGATCATCGGCGTTTGCCGAACCAGAATTTCCTTTCACTAAAACTGGAAATTTTTTGGAAACGTTCACAGTAATTAAACAATACTTCCAACACTGAATGTTAAGGGACTGAAACATGATTCCAGTTTTTACCGTTGGATAAACCAGCCCAAATCGCTTCTCTGGGACCGTAAAACTGAATGTGAGCGTTACCATTGAGCGTCAGTTGGCTGCTGGAAAGGCTTACGGACGCAGAATTCACGCCGAGGGCGAAAATTAGCGCAAAGAGGACTGCCACAGTGATCGGCTTCATGTTCTTGGATAAATTGCGTGGAGGAACTGAGGATTTTGCTCTGGCTAGGAACTCTTTTCCTCTCTAGAGGTAGAATACTAAATGACTACGAGAGCTTGAAAAGTCGCTTTTACTATGAGGGGTTCTTTTCATTACCATGAATGAGGCGAAACAAGTTTTGCTGAGCTCCCAAACATGTTTCGCTATTTTCAGCAATGTAAACAGAACGTTAATGAAGCTGTCCCCAGTAGGGAAACAAATTTGAATAATGACAATCATGTTAACTAATAAAGTGGGTTGGTTAGTTGCACATTTTCATTTTTTCTTTTTCATTATTTTCTGTCGTGGCTCATTTCGTTGGACCGTGATAGGAAGCAGTACCAAACACAAGATCCTTCTTAAGTAAACCCGGCGACAATTTTACTTTCAAGTTTTTTTTCCATTAGCTAAAGCGTTAGATAACGTTAAAAGTTTATTTTAACGGGGAAGCTTTTTCTCTCAAAAGGATCTTATGATTTGCATTACGCTATCATTATTTTCTTGTTTTAGTTATTCAACTAAGACATGAGAGGGCAGCGCGATAACAGACAGAATGTCAAGTTTTGCAGACGTTTTTTTTTTTTTCTTGTTTACAAGGCAACAAAAGTTTTCCGCGTCATGGAATTTCTTGTGAAATGTAAATAAAGTGCTGCTTACTGAATGCTAAAGCGAAATTAGAGTTTTAAAGTCTTCGGAAAAATGTTCCAAAAATTCGCTGAAACCTTTCATTGTTACCTGTAAAAAAAAAAAGCTAATATACGTGGTAACATGAAGCATTGTTATTCCTTCAATTTCACCGCAAATATCATTTGTTTAAACGTTGGAATTGGTGTACGTGTAGTTGTATAATGAGTCATTATTAAACCGCTTTTTCGAGGGCTCGGTTTTTTCTCTAATCTTAAAGGAATTTTCAAGTTGCAGTTCTTGCGATATAGGGAATAGAAAAGAGTAGGTGACCCAAAATTATATTTCTTATCATAAGCATGTGAAAACTATGTTCTATCAAACAGCGATCATGTTTCGACTAAAATTAGTTATTGTCCGCAGCAAAGAACTAAAACCAACACAGAGACACAAAGAGCATACCCGTGAAACAAAAAAGTCACTGTCACCCGCTGACATTCACCTTGTATACTTAAACTAACACTAAAAAAAATACTGTGATGTTTACTCCCCACTAGTCGCTCATTTCACATGTATATCATAATTTTCCAACGAAATTATTGTCGAACACTGCTTCCGTTATATCTCGAGAAGAACTAAAATTCTTATTGAAAATATAATTTTGCACGCGATTTGTACCTTTTTTTTTTAATAGATTTCTTTTCACGCGCACACGCGCGTGAGATTACTCTAAATGGACTCGGGAAGTATAATCATAAGATGAAAACAAAGTCAGTTTAAGAAATCGACAGTGGTTTAGCGTCGACAACGAAATTTGTTATAACAAAGGTCAAAATGTTGTGGACTCACAAGGCACATCCAAGTGAGTCCGCAAAAAATGATAAAATTACAGTTTCCTTTCTTGACGAGACATCTACTATAATTATTTTTTGGGACCCATTTTCTCTTACAATGGCTCTCCAAGGATCACGAATGAAAAATCTTGCGTCAAACTTCAAGCTTTCTCTTGGATTTAATTTCATTGGCCTTGAATTATACCAAAGCATGATCGTATTTTCGATTCATAAGTAATATCTAATTCCTTCAACTTTATGCTTACAACACGACATCATTTGGAGGAACTAGGGAAACTGATGCTTTTCTATGTTTTAAGAAGAGGGAACGGGAAAGAGGTAAATACACTTTTTGGAAAGGTGCCGTGTAATGCAAGCCGGAAAACTTATACAAAGACTTACAGTTACAAAGCCGAATGAAATTCATCGAGAGAACTTCGATTCCCTCGGCAATATTTTATAACGTCGTGCACGAAACGCCTTACCGTGATGTTTCTTTTTAATAATAATAATAATAATAATAATAATTTATATAGCGCAGACCTCTATATGAATATATTCAGTCGCGCTTCACAATATCGTAAGATAAAATTATGGCAAAAGTAACTAAGATCTAAGAACCTATTGGAACCTACAAGTCTATGCACTCGAAGAGAACAATAGCCTAGCAAAGTGGATAAGTAACACGAGTAAAAATAAAAATCTATTTGAAAGCTAGATTAAAAAAATGAGTTTTGATAGAGATCTTGAAAGTGTCCAATGTCTTTATGTTACGAATTGTCGAAGGTAATGCATTCCAAAGATGAGGTACAGCTGATTGGAAGGCGCGGTCACCAAGGGTTGGACGGGTGCTTGATATTTCGAGCAATAAAGACTCGTTTGACCTAAGAGAGTACCTGGATCGCTTTTTGATGCTAATTAAATCAGTCAAATAGTTAGGGGCTAGACCATATAAACAGTTAAATGTCAAAAGGAGAATCTTAAACTTTATACGGTAACTAATCGGGAGCCAATGAAGGTGGAAAAGTAATGGCGTAACATGGAAGTATTTTGGTGATCCAGTGACCAACCGAGCTGCGGCATTCTGTATCCGTTGGAGTTTCATGATATGTGAATTCGGGAGGCCATATAGTAGACTGTTACAATAATCTATTCTACTGGTTATAAAAGCATGAACCAATGTTTCGGTAACTGAACGACT